ATCGATCTCATCCTTTAGGAAGCCCCGGGGTGTAAATGGCTTAAGATTGGTGAAATTGGTAACACAATCCTGAATCAAAACTTAAGTGAGTGCCCTCGCCATGTTTATCGAATATGGTGCACTCATGAGAGGACAAAAGAGAGTGTGAAAAGTTGAAAGGGGAACTAGGAAGGAGTTTTTTGAAAAGTAGTTGGGGAGCTCGTGTCAGATCCTTCATCCGAGGCAAACTCCAGTAGATAATCAAAGATCACCGGAGCTCGGATGAGGTGCATCGCTTGTCAAAACAGCGAGCTGGTGAAACACTCATCCGCAATCGTAGAGCCAACACGCACCGTTCTCTACGTAGTGTGTGATATTCTCAAGTCCACATCTGCTTCGAAGTGGCCGATTCCCATACTTGAGAGCAAAATTCTCTGCCCGCAACTTCGCAACTTCAAAGAAAAGAATTCATCCGTGGCCAGGAATTCATAGTGTAGCCATGGCTATAGGTTTCACCGTGCAAAAGCCTACACTCTACAATCTTGTGTGACCCTGCTCAGCATACTCACGATATAGTTTGCGTCTGCCAAGTTTGGGCATCCGCCAGGTTGACCCGGATACACCTACGTATTTTGACAGGTAGTCGCCCTACTATATGCCAATATTGTGCGAATGCCTATTACCGATTTCTGCAACAATGACTCATCGAGACCAAGTCAGGAGTGGAGGTATAACAAATATCCGTTGTCTTGGACTTAGGGTTTCATTTAATCTTATGCTAAAGATATGGTTTTGAGCACAAGTATGACTGCAGTCAACCACGGCGAGTAGTTATCCACAGTTCATTGATGTGCTGAAACGGAAAAGAGACATGGCTATTTTCATTAGAATAATTTCGACTTTTAAAGGGTAGTGCTTTTATCATTCAGGATAGAATTGTAGACGTACTAAAAGGGAGCTTCCGAACTAGCATGACTAGTGTAACTTGGCAGATTTCGCAATGAGAGTCTCATAGAATGAGCATATCTACTCATGCAGGGCAGATAATACTGGCATTAACTATTGCACGGGCATAAAGATTTAAATCGAAACTCTAAAACTTAGTTTCTTATCTTTCGTAAATACTTAATTTTAAATATTGCACAAGTATCACGACATCTCAATAGCTTCATTTCTACTGTGGGGAAATTTGCTTCTGTGCCTGAGGTGAACCGACCCCATCAATCGAACACGTCCAAGAATAACGTGGGATGCAGATTATCTATCCAGTGATCTGCATTATGGAAGATAATCACGACATCCGAGTTATGTATGCGTAATTACATGTACAACATTCAAAGAGGCTAAACTAAAATTGACTCGAGAGCTGAAAATAAGATTGATTGAAATACCCCGCACCCCTCAATCACTTCTACAGCTGTATCTGTTCGTGAACCCTCCATTTCTTAAATACATTTTTTGGACAAAAATGGCCGCCCCAAATACATCAAGTTCTGAAGTTAATCTCTATTCAGAATATCATCAAAGATTTCAATCTGCCGTACCACAAAATGAAGAAGAATGGCTTTCACGAGCATCAGAGATTTCCCAAATCTTTTCAAAGGACGCTGCAAAGAGAGATATTGACAATAAATCCCCTCGCGATGAAGTGTCATTATTAAAGTCGTCAGGACTGTTAAAAGTATTGGGTCCCAAAAAATATGGTGGCGGTGGTCAATCATGGGATATCGGATACAAAGTAATCAGAGAAGTTGCTAAAGGTGATGGATCTTTGGGCATGCTACTTGGATATCACTTGCTTTGGTCGACAACAGCAAATGTTGTGGGGACAGATGAGCAGAAAGATCGATTACAAAAGGAGATAATTGAAAATAATTATTTCATGGGAGGTAATTGAAGTCATGCCAAAGTTCAAGAAATACGCTGACACTATCAAAAACAGGTGCTGTTAACCCAAGAGATTCAGATTTGAGTATCAAATCAGACGGGGATCACATTGTTTTCAATGGACAAAAGCACTTCAACACTGGTGGAGTTGTATCTGACATAACAATTCTTGAAGGTGTGTTGGAGGGAACTGGGAAGCATATCTTTGCTGCGGTGCCGACTAGACAACCTGGAATTCAATTTGCCGTAAGTGAGAATGTAGATGAAAGTTTTTCTTTCGCAGCTGACATTACTATCTTAATAGCATAATTGGAATAACATTGGATTAAGACTCACCGAGTCCGGTAGCGTCAAGATTGAAAATGTTAGGGTTCCTTGGGAAGATGCATTAGGTTGGAATGCCCAAACCAAGGAACCAGTACCTCAAATCCTTACTGTCCCTTTCGCAACCCTACTACTCCCCACCATTCAATTGGTTTTCGCAAACTTTTATATCGGAATCTCTCTTGGAGCTATCGAATCAGCAGCCAAGTACACAACAACTTATACGCGCGCGTGGCCTTTCGGTGGAGATAACAAAGACAGTGCAACAGAGGAGTGGTACATTCTTGAGCGATATGGCACATTCCACGCACATTTATCGGCAGTTGTAGCTTTAGCGGATTCTGTGGGTAAGAAGTTGACAGACATATATGCGAAACATCAAGACAAACGATCAGTTTCTGCACGAGAACGTGGTGAATTAGCAGAAGCTGTTGCAGCTGTCAAAGTCGTAGCTACCGACGTTGGATTAAAGGTGACAAGTGGAGTATTTGAAATGACTGGAGCAAGAGCGACTAGTAAGAATGTTGGACTGGATCGATTTTGGCGTGATATTAGAACGCATAGTCTTCATGACCCTGTTGCTTATAAGAAGAGGGAACTTGGAAGGTGGGCATTGTTGGGAGAGATTCCCGAACCGACTTGGTACACTTGATCGACTAGTTCTTCCAATGAAAAATTCGGACTGTTGAACCTGGAACCACCCAGCACTTGAGACAAATTGTGATGATGAGGGAGTACCCTAACACTTGATGAGGATTCAGGCACACTCTTAAACACTCTTAAACACGAAGATGACTACATTCTACCATGATAATGTCTCCATTCGAAGAATGAATTACTGTCGTAACTCCGTATTTGAAAAAACTTCACAACTCAATGGCTTGAAGGTTGAAAACAATCTGGGAATCTGTGAGCCAGATGTGAATTTTATACGGGGATAAAATGTGAAGCAAGTCCTAATCCATAACCTTTCAAAAGTCGATTCCCGAGACTTCTCAGGAAGATTGATCTGAAAGAAAACAGATTGAATCACGAATAAATGCTTGATGAACCCTCAATGATTTGATTGAAGAACTTCTTGAATAAATTGAAGGGAAACAAAAGCAATGTGGATGGATGGCTTACTAAGCTGAAATTATTAGCGTGAGTTCTGTTGACCTTACTTCCAAATCCCCCTCAATACCCAAGCATCCAAAATCCTCATCACTACATATCCAAACGCAATCATGACAGTAACTGAAGCTGTAAAGTCCGCCATTGGACTTTCTGGTACTCCATCTACAAGTATGATTCCTTGCCCCTCTAGATCCTACTTTGCCAAAGACGGAAGCTAACACCCGGTTCAGGCGCAACCCGAGAACAAATGAGCGAAGCCCGATTACCTATCGCATATCGTGACGGATGCGCCGGTCTATTGATTCCTCTTAATCGTTGTCGGCAGGAGGAATATTATCTTCCATGGAAGTGTGAGGTGGGTTTGCGGGTCATTCCAGAAGTACTGGGGTATCAAGAACAAGGCTGACATTCGGAATTTCTTGAAACAGCAAGAGAGACATTCTTACGAAAAATGCCAATACGATGAATTTAAAAAGAGAGTTGCGAAGATGGACGAATTGAGGGAGGCTAAGGATGGTGCAAGAAGCAATTGATATGGGAGGGGCAATCATGAATCAATGGATGTGTACATACGGCATGGAATGGAATACAAGTTTGCATGATATCGGTATGGACTAAGCATGGTGAAAAGGGATTCTTTTTACCCTACAGATTCTGGAGAAATATATTGCATGGCTATAAGTGTGTCTTTTGGGGGTTCTGATATGCCTGGGGATTTGGCTTGGATTCAAGCACTTTCATCGGCGTTCGGTGGGTTCTTCCTGGGTTCCTCAGATTGACATTCAAGGGGTTACACTTTTTCTAAGACTATGTTACAGCTCTGCGCTTCGAGCTGAAGTGTATTGATAGTTGACACAGGCACAAGGCTTTACTTGCAGATCATGGAAGCCCCCCCCCCCTCTGAAGCTTTCATGAACTGACTATCTAGGAGTCGACTTTATCATCACCTGGAGATCAGATTCACATAGACTGATAGCGTTCGTGGGTACGTATGAATACAAGTATGGCATTATATATGTATGTACATATTGATGTTGTTCATGATATTATAAGTGGATATGTTGATATGATTCTAAGGCCGGCCATGAGATTGTAAACAGGCACGTTGACTTTTGATTACAAATACTAGTCTCGGTATATCATATACATGTCAGTTTGATTCCAGTAATGCATCCCAGAATGTAGCACAGGACGAGGGCATTTGGATCATCAGTTACAGTGCGCGAACATATCTATTAATTGGTCCATTCATGGAGCTACTTCTCTCTCTCGAGCATCCCTACTATTCATCCTGCTAGTGAGTCAGCATGGCATATCACAAATAGCAGGTAAGTCGCTATGATTTTTGGTTAGACTTCCTGCAGGCCTACGACCCACGGGAGTATCTACACTTTTGGAGAAAACACATTCACCAAAGCTAGTTCGAGAAAATGACGGCTGGCTCAGGGCTGTACTCTAAAAGCTTGATCATTCACTCGTGTCTATGAGATCAACCAAAGCCTTCGGGACCTCATTCTTCCACGGTGATTGCTGTACCAAAACCAGTATGGATTAACTGCATCTCTTTATTCTCGCCATTCTCACAGTCTAAAGTAAGTCACATCAATTTTTTGGGAATGATTAATTTGCTGTAAGGTTAAGTCAATTGCAAGAGTGCAGTGTCGAAGCTGTCTGTTTCGGAAAGTCAGCGTTTATTAGCCACTTCCATTAGGCAATGCCTTCATATTTGCCTCCAAGTATACAACACCAGCTTTGACGCCGTCGACAATATATACTCGGTTGGCATCCTCTGATCCTAATTCTTCCACGAGTGCTTCTCGAACCATGTCATCCATACCTGCCATTCCTGCACACCCTAGACAAACGATGGAACAATCTCTTTTCCCAACCAATCTTTTCACCGCTTCCTTCATTTTGGTGGCGACAATCTCACTATCGACACTATGAAGCTCGCCAGCAGTGAGACCTGTAGTCTCTACTCCTTTGAATCTTTCACAATGTTCTCCCTTTTGAGTCCCCAAGAAATCTCTCACACCTGCCCCCAACACCTCTTCCCAGTATTTTCCAGTACTCACAATTCCAAATCCTTCCTTGTCACCTTCACTATCACCCAATCTCTTTCCGTTACCCTGCGTCAACAATCCCAAAGACATCATGACACTGGCCTCAAAAATTCCTGTCACGTGTACGTTTGGTCTCACTCTCTTCTTGAGTTCCGTAACCAATGGATGAACACTGTAACAGGCTACAAGAAATGCATCATATTGATCAAGAGTCGATGTAAGGTCCGAAAGAACAACTTGCGTAGAGAGGGTTGCATCCTCCTCGTTGTTGATGGACGGAGGACTTGGCAGTTGAGCTGTGTAAAATGAAATTTGAATCTGAGAGGAATCACTTATTGTAGAAAGTAGAGTTTGCAGGCCCTCGGTCATAGACTTCGAAGAGTTTGGATTTATGATGAGAAGCTTTCTGTCTGTAAGTTTCTTGGGTTTGATATCGGCAGCCATGTTTGTGACAAGAGTGGGTTATCCCTCGAGTTCTTCGTGCGAATAATTATGGCGCAGCCTGCAGGTAGGATTTGGGTAAAATATCTAGTACCTTATGTGCCTTTTCGACGAGCACAAGAATAGATGATGTATAAAATAGAATCAGAGGAAAAAATCAAGAGATCGTTCACTTACAATGTTATATTCACATTCGAAAGTGGACTTTCACCAATCACCAGCTTCGTGAAGTGAAGCGGGTTCGGCGGGGAAGCTTAAGCCTCGTTACGGCCATACATTCCGACCTCAACCGCAGCGTCGTCAGAATCACTAACCAGCTACACCACAACTCTAACCATTTCATACATAGATTCTACAATTTGATCTGCCACCGTCTGGAATTATGGCAGAACCACCAATAGGTATACCAAAGTTGTTTTCCTCTTTTGATTATCCATACTGACAACAATCGCATAGTCCTCGATGGAGGAACTGGTTTCCTGAAAGTCGGATATGCAGCTCAGGTATGTGGCATTTTGGACTATTAATGATGGAAGCTATCTAAATGCCTCGGAATTAACTTTTTGTAAATTTTAGAATTTCCCAGAGTTCCAATACCCTTCTATTGTCGGTCGACCAATTCTGCGATCCGAAGAAAAGGGTGATGATGGCATGGTCATTAAGGACATCATGTGTGGTGATGAAGCTGCCGCAGCGAGGACAATGCTTCAAGTCTCATATCCTATGGAAAACGGTATTGTCAAGAAATGGGATGATATGCAACACCTTTGGGATTATACGTTTTACGAGAAAATGAAGGTCGATCCTACTGGTCGGAAGATTCTCTTGACAGAACCACCAATGAACCCCTTAAAGAACAGAGAACAAATGTGCGAAGTCATGTTTGAAAGGTATCAATTTGGAGGAGTTTACGTGGCTATTCAAGCAGTCTTGGCTCTATATGCACAAGGTACTTTCATTCTCTCAATTGCGCGACGGGCGGTGTGCAGTACGCAGGACATTATGTGTACTGATTGTCAATAGGTCTCAGTTCTGGAGTTGTGGTTGATTCTGGAGACGGAGTTACACATATTGTACCGGTTTACGAATCAGTTGTCCTCAACCATCTTACTCGTCGTCTTGATGTCGCCGGTCGAGATGTCACACGAAACTTGATTGCTCTCTTATTACGTCGCGGATATGCTTTGAACAGAACAGCGGATTTCGAAACAGTTCGACAAATTAAGGAGAAGCTTTGCTATGTTTCTTACGATCTTGAGTTGGATCAACGCTTGAGTGAAGATACCACTGTATTGGTTGAAAGTTACACTCTACCTGATGGGCGTGTGATCCGGGTTGGAAGTGAACGTTTCGAAGCTCCAGAGTGCCTCTTCCAACCTCATCTCGTCGATGTTGAACAACCCGGTATTGCCGAGTTCCTTTTCAACACCATTCAAGCTGCAGATGTCGATGTGCGATCCTCTCTTTTCAAAGCTATCGTTCTATCTGGTGGTTCATCTATGTATCCTGGTCTGCCATCACGACTCGAGAAAGAATTAAAACAATTATGGTTAACAAGAGTTCTCGGTGGAGATCCTGAACGCTTAAATAAGTTCAAGGTCCGAATTGAAGATCCTCCTAGGAGGAGGCATATGGTTTTCTTGGGAGGTGCAGTGTTGGCAAATATTATGGCTGATAAAGAGAACATGTGGATTACAAAGCAAGAATGGGAGGAGCAAGGCACAAGAGTATTGGAAAAGTTGGGACCTAGATAGGAGTAGATGAGAGGAGTTTTATGGTGGATTGAGTCATTGATGAATATGAATGCATTGCGTGGGCTAGCCTTTCTTCTATCATACGGAATCAAAATTGCTTTTTGTGTCTGGATATATTAGTGAATCAGACAACTTCTCATTTTGATGTGACTTAATTTCCCGTCAGAATAAGAGCATCACTTCATCTTTGTGAAGGCCATATGAATCCGACATGGAGCAGCGGTTCGATAATTCTTAGATAATAGTTCCCACTAATCGGCAAGTGCTTTCTTCACAACCTGCTTTCCAACAATACCTAGGTATATCTTATCATTGGAACTTGGAAGGACTATGGAAGAAACTTTGGCGACGTGGTTGTACAGACATGTGGTAGTCCTTCTACATCCGAGAAACTATGTTCCTCGCTACTTTCGTGTGCAACACATCTTTTTTGACTCTTTGATTCTACATCGAGTATCTAATCCTTCAAGTCACTTTGTCCATTTTGACGTTTATTGACTCGAACTTTGTACACACTAGAATCTTTTCATAATCCAAATAAACTCAAACGCCGGAGCGTATGCAAAAACCCGAGAGGGTTTTAATTATAGCCAGAAAGTTTCGAGGGCCGCGAAGACCTATTCTGTTGTGCAGTCGAAGCAGGTTTTCAGCTGATACATATTGGGACAATTACGCATCAGATTTATATTCGTGTCCAACCTATTGTGTCTTCCCCTCCTTGAACCCTAGTCTTGCTTCGACACTAGATGATCTTGCAACTTTCGCTTCATTCAACCACCAAGCATTTATCAGACTGTATGAAATGAGTTATCTTAATTTCCATGCTACCCCCAACGCAGAAAATCGCTGCGGGTCTCAGCTAAGTGGTCCTAATACTTTCATTGCCTTGAACATTGGAGGCATGGTTGCTGGTGAACCTACATTGTTAATTAACTCGATATACTATGGGCACCTTAGGGGTTTCTGCGGATGTACATTAATAAAAAACTTACTGTAAACTACTTATGGGACAAGATTACATGCTTTTGGGACTGGCTTCGTGCAATCTGAGTAATATATAGGTGGTGCGTTGGACTTGAGTATCTCCGCTATTTTTGATGATGGAAATCTATACATCCCCAGCGCCAAAGGGAATATCGAGTCTCGAGATGTGGGTGGCTCCGACGTAGGAGAAAATACACGAGGGTTCAGGCAGAGATATGGTGGCTGATCCCACGAGAAATTTCAATGCTAACCTTGGAAGGCTGTGGAAGTAGCGGCTTTGGCGGAAGATTGGCAGGAAGTTGGCTCTTAATCACTGTCTCGTAATGAAGCAACCAAATAGCTAGATGATGAGCCGAGGCGAGAATTTCGCTCCAAACATGATGCATGTATATTTCGCTTCTTTGTTGGCGCTTTTTGGAGTGGAGTTACAGCACAATTGGAAAGAAATTTCAGCAGAGATTTTCTATGGCAAATTATCCTCAAGGTAAGACGAACGTTCTGAAATAATATTTCGCCTGAGTAGGAAAAATCTTCTTGATGATTGTCAGGCGTGATAGTCAAAAATATCATTCGAAACTTGGGACATGTGTATTCCCCGCTTTGGACATTCGAGCCATCCAAATGAACTACCACAAGACTCTAATATCACATTGATGTTGGTTTGGCTTAATTCTACATATACTTGAGATCTTTTTGACGATTGTTTGACTTGTAAAATTGGCTCAAGGTGAAGTAACAACGAAGAATTGTGAAGCATTGAAAAAAGGTTTGAGGATGGTGGTATTGATATGAAAAATCAGGTCACCTGGTGTTGTCTCCAAAGGTCCTAACGAAGAACTGAAATGTCTAGCACAGAATGATAGATTATGAGTGATTACAAGTCTGATGCCAACTATACAATACAGCTTCTGCTTTGAAATAAATTGTGAATATATGTTAAAAAGTATTAACACCTAACGCCGAGCTAATCTTAATATCATGTGCATCCTATACTAAGAGCTTGTCATTCTTATTCAATCGACTCTTCTCTGTCTTCCCCAGACTTCATCGGCATCTTTCTTGCCTCTAGTTTCAGGAACTTTCCAACTAACAAATATTCCGCACAATACTGCCAACGCTGCAAATATAAAGTACGCCCATCCCACACCTCCTAAAGCTTTGTTCAAGCTAGAGTTGATTATGGGGAAAAATTGGGCTACTAGAAAAGTAGCAAGATAATTGGCTGCCAAACCTACACTTTGCGTCGCACCCACAGCCTCTGGACCGACGAACTCTGATGCCATCATGAAAGGAACAGGACCAAGACCTGTGGCGAAAAATGTGACAAATAGGATGACTGAAATCGCAGAGAGAATTTTGATTTCCCAACGAAGGGATAATGCTAATGAAAGAGACATGGTGCCCATACCAGTTATGGAAAGGAGAAGGCATGCTTTTCGACCAATTTTATCGGCTAATGGTGCACATGCGACAGTTGCCACGAGATTAACTACCGAAATAAGAATTGTAATGATAGATGAAGAGACGGGGAGAAGGCCAGACAAAAGTGATACGGAATACATGATGATACTGTTGATACCACAAAGTTGTTGAGCAAACATAATACCAATGACGGCAATGACTGCAGGTTGATAGAAGGGATCTTTAATGACTTGAAAGAATCCAACATTAGGAATGGATTTCTGTGAGGATGACTTGCTGGCAACAGAGTCCCTTCTAGTCAGCTCTGGGTCAAGTAAAAGACGCTCTTCTTCTTCTTCGGATGGCTTAATGTCCCAGTGTTGAATCTCTTCCTCAATGGAATAGCCATGTCCTCTAATTCGCTGGAGGGTTCTCGTGGCTGTTTGTGTGTCTTTATGTGCGGCAAGCCATGTTGGGCTTTCTGGGATGAATAACAACCCAACTCCTTGTAACAATCCAAGTCCAGCTCCAACTGCCAATATGATTCTCCACTTCGACCCTCTACTCAAATAATAACCCAGAACCTGAGTAAGTAGGATGCCTACATTCGTGGTAATTTGTGTCATGGATCCAAACAATCCCCTTTCCTTAGGCGGTGCAACTTCTGAAATGTAAATTGGCACGACGACAGTCGATGCTCCAGCACCAATGCCTGAAAAGAACCGGCCAATAGACATCATTGGAACTGTGCCGGCGAAGATTTCCAAAATTGACCCTACTATGAAACAAACACTTGTAATTCTCATGGCAAATAATCTTCCATAACTTGTCGACACGGCGCCACAACCCAGTGCTCCTGATAATCCACCTAAAACGAAGAGTGACGAAAGGGCGGCAAATTCGGCTTCGGTCATAGGGATACATTGTGGAAGTCCGGTACGAACAGTTGATTCGACACGACTTTGTTTCTTGCATGTAATGACATCTTGGGGAGCATTTAATTCAGACTTGAAGAATTTAAGTTAGCTATTATTCGTAGAAGTGATAGATAGTATATGACGGCATGTGTGAATATGTGCTATGTGCTAGTTTCTGGCATCAGCATGAAAGTAATGATGTTACATACCAAATGAAAGCCAAATTGTAGAGGTCCAAGGGTCGAGATAAATATGAGGAAAAGTAGGTAGGGAGTGATATCCTGAATACATTGTCTCATGCCTCCTGAGGCCATATTGAACGCAGTCCAAAATGTATAAGAAGTTAACGGGAATAACTCATGCGTTGCAAATGAATGGTGAGGTTTGCTAAGAGTATATACAATATGACCTGATAAATTTATCCCATGTCAGGACTGGAATGCTAGTATGTAGTAGCTTGCTTGCGTTGGCCCGATAATTTGTGAATCAGGAGCTTTGTGTTTCATTGTGGTTTGCTGTCAAGTGTCGGTAGAGAAGCAGTACCTGAACATTGAAACGTCATGAGGACCTCGGGAGTTATGAACGTTATTTGTGTAATTATGCAGGTAGCTGTGTTGGTCGCGGCTACATACCTACCTAGGCTCGCTAATAAGTAGACATTATCGATAAGGATTGATGTTTTGATGTGAAAGCTATCCACGGAGTACCTTCTACACAGTTATTAGTTGGTACACAGTTGTAGGTATTCTTTTTCCCCTTTCTCACTTGAGATACTAGTCATTCTACCAATTCTGTTTGATCCTTTGAATTCAATACTGGTAAACTGTTGTACATCATCATTCAATACCTACTTCCTGCCATCAGTCTACGGCCCTTCCAAAAACCCTACACCCTACTCCCTACACCGTCCCACCTCCCACATTTCTGCATTCTTATTATCCCAACTTGTTGGTACATGCTACTGCACCCCGCTGAGAACGATACAGGATGCAAATTACTCTACAAAAACAGGGACCTGCGAAACAAGAACAAGCCAATTTCTTCGGCTGGATATACGGACACTCCGGATACCTGTGAGAACGTGGAATGAAGTGTCGATAACAACGAATGCTTACAAATTATCTGCATCTTACAAGTGACAGTCCACCTACAGCACCGCGTCCGAAACACCGAAACTGTCAAATCGCTCTTTATCCCGCAAGTCAGTATAGATCTAACTTGGCTTTACCCGTTGATCCAAAAGGCTTCCCCTCTTTAGGTCATCTCATCTGACCGCTATCTCCGAATCTCGCCCTACAGATCCCCTCCCATCTTTGAATGTTGCTTGGGGGTTACACATCAACCGTTCAAAGACGCAGGTGCACAACTATCTCGTGTGACCCTATCATCGCTGTGTCGAATCACCGCAGATATTGTCAATCATCATTCATTCATCATTCAGTTCTCAGCCCCGGGGTTTCCCATATCACAACACATCACATCGCATTAGCTACATTACAATTGCATATCTTTTTCGTTTAGGTCATCTGAAATTGTCTCGTTTTATCATTCGAGATTTGTGAATTAGATCGGCCGACATATGTCTCGTCCTTCCGTGCTGATGCTGTTACTAAGACCTTAATTCACAACTTTCCTTTTCTGGTCTGATATCAAGCGCGTCTCGTACTATACCTCATACCGACTTACATACATATTGTACGACCAGGTAGCCTTTTTCGCGGCAAATTTGATCACCTTCCCTGATACGAAGCTAATTTTGAAGGGATTCTTTGACACGCTTGATGCAACCGACTGTACTTACAACCTGCATCTAAATTACGCTCGACTGCATCTTACCGACCCTGCACTACTGCAAAGCAGTATTACGCTACCTGCTATTCACACCCACACTCACACGCGCATTTGAAATCTTCCTATTGCCATTCCCCTTGTTTTGCCCACATACGAGCTTGTCTAAGATTGTCTTGGTTGGAAGATTTACAGATTTTGATGCCCACTGAATCTGCAGACTAATCAAGCAAAACCAAGCCGAAGTACGCCGCCCCCGCCGTACGCACACGCGTTATCCACAATAACAATAATGAGCCTGACATCTAACCCACCGTCATCCGGCGGCCCATCCTCGATCTCCGCATCTAGAACTCAAATAAAAAGATCTGTTCAAGCTGTTTTTGAAGGTAATGTAGATATATGACTTTTTCTTTTATCTCTCAAACAATATTACTTGACACATTTATTATTTTTCGCTTGGTTGGCTACTTTCCTCATCAACAAAAGCATATCCTATCAAAATCTTCATCTCTGATCGGCACCTCAATAGCTCTTTCCAATATGGTTTGAAAACTCTGATCTCTTGCTTCATCAAATATCAAATCATTGCATCTATCGTTTGAATTTCTATCTCAAATTACTTTATATCGATTCAATATGTATCCTACAAGAAGACCTCCTCCATTTTACACCCCTAGTAGTTCGTTGTTATCTTACTTAAATTAGACTTTACAAAACTAACTGACAAATCCCAGGTACAGCTGAAAGATCAGCCAATCCCAACTTGGGCTACCAAAGTAAAGTTCGAGTTATTGATCGATATAAAGTCATTGGTTTCATTAGTTCTGGTACATATGGACGAGTTTATAAAGCAGTTGGGCGAGATGGACGACCTGGGGAATTTGCCATTAAGAAATTTAAACCAGGTAAATACAAACAAATCCACATCAGCACTGTTATATATATACTAACGTATCTTAGATAAGGAAGGGGAACAAATCCAATATACGGGTATTTCACAATCAGCAGTTCGAGAGATGGCACTGTGTTCAGAATTGAGTCACATGAATGTCATCCGACTCATTGAAATTATCCTTGAAGACAAGTGTATCTTCATGGTGTTTGAATATGCCGAACATGACCTTCTTCAGATTATCCATCATCATACTCAACCTACTCGCCATCCCATTCCTGCTCCAACAGTTAAATCCATCATGTTTCAACTTCTCAATGGCTGCCAATACCTTCATGCGAATTGGGTACTTCATCGTGATCTCAAGCCTGCCAATATTATGGTATCCTCTGCAGGGGAAGTGAAAATTGGCGATTTGGGACTTGCTCGACTTTTCAACAAACCATTGCATTCTCTTTTCTCTGGTGACAAAGTTGTAGTTACGATATGGTATCGAGCCCCGGAACTCCTACTAGGTTCAAAGCATTACACTCCGGCCATTGATATGTGGGCTATTGGGTGCATTTTTGCAGAGCTCCTTTCCCTCAGACCAATATTTAAAGGCGAAGAAGCGAAGATGGATAGTAAGAAAACGGTACCATTCCAGAGGAATCAAATGCAAAAGATTGTCGACATAATGGGACTACCAACCAAGGAAAAATGGCCACATCTGGTACACATGCCGGAATACTCGCAACTTTCCACTCTCTCAGCTAGTGGACATGCAAAAGCTGGATACTCGAGTTTGGAGAAGTGGTATTATCAAACCATAAATTCATCCCCCACCTCGGTTCCAGTATCGAATTCGAGTCTAGGTGGTGAGGGGTACAAACTATTGAGCAGTTTACTTGAATATGACCCTGAAAAACGATTAACAGCGCAAGCAGCATTAACACATCCATTTTTCAGTACAGGGGATAAAGTTAGTGCCAACGTCTTCGAGGGGGTCAAAACAGAATATCCGCACAGGAGGGTTAGTCAGGATGATAATGATATTCGAACGGGAAGTTTACCTGGCACAAAGAGGAGTGGGCTACCGGACGATTCAAGACCAGCGAAAAGATTAAAGGAATAAATCTCGAAACATCATTGGATCTATGCAGGGTATCATCAATCTTATCAATTAAATGTTCTTTAGCGATCTCAGCATTGAGTAGGGCACCATTGTGACAATGGTACCTTCGGATCCTTAGATCGGCAGGGTTCGAATTCCAAAAGTCTAAAACGTGGAGGGGTAGGGAAATCACAAAAAAAAGTTGCACAGCCACAATGCGAGTTTGTTGACTTTGCTGGCAATTTTTGGAGGGATTCCCAAGCGAGCACTTCATTGGCATGAATTGATATAATAACTCATATCAAAACTAAGTTTCGAAATTTGAGCATAATGACGGGAAACGGTTCGGGTTATTTTTTCGATGATCATCATATGATGACGATGACGAGGGGCGTAATCTGGGCATCGAGTTTGAATGAATAAATGCAGCAGAAATAACTTATAATTCAAATTCGTCTCATTAGATTCCTAAAACTTGGTAGTACTATCATTTCGCCATTGGATCTCGGATTTCGATTGAATCAGTCCAAAAAGGGCTGTCGATTGCGAGAGTTCCCCAGTTGGTGGCAGTCAATCCCTCAAGACGACCATTCTAGATGCCCGTAACTTTTTGAAGGAATCGGGCTCAACATAGCATTCCAATCTGCATCATCTCTTCTAAATCGCATCTCAAGCTTTCAAAATGCGTCGGCCCTACACCTTCACTCGAACGTCGTCTTCTCATGCTCGCTACAATCCAATTTACGAAGAAACAGAAGCCAAGAAAGCCGAAGCCAAGGAGAAATCACGATGGTCATTTCCATTCTTTGCATCCAATCAACCTACAGGTTACGAGACTGTAAAACCACAACCACGACAATCTAGTTCTCCACCTCCTCGTACATCCGGCACTTTCTTTGCAACAAATCACAATACATATTCGCCAACAAATAGCACAGACAACATTTACGATGCAGCTGAGAAATCCACAAAACCTGCGAGTGACCAAAGAAAGCGCTTCTCCTTTCCTTCTTTTTCTTTCTTCGGAACGAACAACAACAATGGCGATGAAATCGAAGTTGATGATGACTATGATTACCGGTCCAATTCTTTCAATGATGGTGAAAACAGGACTGATCCATTCCTCGACCCTGAAGACTACTCAAAGAAAGAGAAGAAGAAGGAAAAGCAGAAGCAGAAGCAGAAAACCTCTGCATCAGCCAAAGACCCCGACAACAAGAAGCCAACTAAATCCTGGCAAGAACGAGGATCGGCTAAGAGAACAGAAGCAAGAGAGGAGAAAGAGAAGGCCAAGGAGCGAGAAAGGGCCCGCAAAAGAAATAGCGGTTTAGGGTGGGCAAAATCGTGGTCGTTTGGAGGTGAGAGATTTGGGGGAACAATATTGGCCGATGGGAGTGGAGTGAGGATGCCGATTTTTAGATGTAAGGGTCCTTGTGGACTGTCTTGTGGATTTTGAATGGTCTCTCGTTGACTGTATATAGAATGGGTACAGGTCGGAATTGGGAAATGAGTATGGCGGCGAACGGCGGCGAACGGAGTTCAGGTGGTTTGCTTTTGTGAAATACAGATATCGACAGCATAGAATATAGACGAACATCTCATCCGCAACAACTAGAGCACTTGAAATTGCGGCCTTGATGAAATTCTGACCACAAGTCCGATCGAAAGTCACTGCGCAAAATTCGAAAATTTGGTATCTGTACAATAGCTAGAATTACAAGGTTTTCATTTTTGTAGGTATGATGGTAATTTTTTTTACTTCCCTCATGGTCTCAGTTCAGCTCCGCCCTGCCTTGCCATTCCCGTGTCCCAAACCTCTTCGTCACTCGCTTAATATTACAACCTTTTTGTTTTCCTTTCCTCCTATCGTTCCAGTTTCCCCTATCTTGAGTAGAAACCTCAAACCTGTCTCTCCACGTCGCGCCACCTGATGGAAGAATGAAAACAAGAAAGAATCAATAGTGAATTAAAGGATAAAGAAAACTATTGGTATCGCCGCCATCCCCGTAGGTAACATACATATGAACAACCTCACCATAAAAAAAAAACGCAAGAAGTGCGCATTGTTGCATGCGCAAGTCAGAAATTAACAAAGAGAGATATGAGGAAATCCTGAGATTAGAGGATGGTACGAGATGTAACCGAAGATAGGCTGGTGGAAATGACAAGATGACAGTAATAAGGGGCCGTTATGGAGTTGAACGTCGTGAACGAGTAGATGTGACTCCGGTGAATCGATATGACATGCTACTGAGAGCCAATTATTCTGTCTAGGTATGTATATTTCGTGTAGGGACATGTTCGTAGGAGGAGGATATATCGTGTAGACTGAGGTATAAAGGGGTGGTGAAATCTGATTGTTGAGAAATGATATTATACGTCCTGGGTTGGATAGTCAACGGCACTATTATTTCGTTTGTGGAGCAGGTCTTCCTTCAATTGTTTTTGAGAGCCAAGCCTAAGTCTCAACGTCAGCATAGTCACAAAATCATCTGCGATGTGCAATTGATGCATTGCATGAAGAAATAGAACACATACCAGTCCTTCCATTAACCCCTCGCCGGTAGTGGCACAACTTGGTACCACGAACCAAACCTTGTTTCTCAATTCGTTCAACTTAAGTTGTTCTGTGACCTCGGGTGGCTTCATAGCTTCTCGATTGTCAGCTTCTCACTTGCAATAAGGTTGTAACCATTGAACTGTATCACCCACCTCCTGCAATATCCTGCTTGTTCGCGAAGACTAGGAGTAATGAATCTTGCATTTCTCTGTCGTTGATAATGCGATGTAACTCTTGTTGTGCCTCTGCTATGCGTGCTCTGTCACTGGAATCGATCACAAAGATAAGTCCTTGAGTACCTATTTTTCGACAAATTTCTGTTAGAATTTGCTCCTACTCGTGTATATCAAGTCAAAAAGATACTTGGCAGATAATCGAGTACATACCACTGAAGTAATGTCTCCATAGAGGTCTGATCTTATCTTGTCCACCGACATCCCAGACATTAAATTTGACATTCTTGTATGTCACCGTCTCAACGTTGAATCCAACAGTAGGAATTGTAGTAACATCTTGACCCAACTTCAATTTGTAGAGAATAGTTGTCTTTCCAGCAGCATCGAGACCCAACATCAACAGGCGCATTTCCTTGGATCCGAAGATCTTGCCCATCATTTTAGAAATAGCTCCTCCCATATTGACAGAATTTGAGATGTGCGTATGATATGTACGATATTAATTGAAGTATGGGCAATTCGATTAACGGCACAGAGTTAGAGGCGACTAAAAGGACCTGTGAGGTTTTGCTAGATGATATGCGTGTAAAATAATGTTTGGAAAGGAGTGACGGTGGATCGATGGAAGAGGATGATAAAGTTCCAATGCAAAGATAATCGGATCAGGGTAGACCAGACCAAATGAATTGAAAAAAAGATGGTCCAATTTTTTTTGGCTCTTATTACAAGGCGAGGCTGAAATGATGATTGATGGTTGATGAAGAAGGGGAGAGGAGAGGGAGTTGAGTCTCAAAGGATTGTGGCTTGGTCTCTTCTATGGCTATGGGCTCTAATTAAAGGTGGAGGAGAGAACCTTTAGGGATGGAGGAGGTACGAGTTAGCAAAGTCGCGTAATGATGAGAAGAAGCGGCTAACAATTAATCGCGAGAACACTTGTGGTGCCAGTATCTTTGCTTTTAATTGAAAGGAGAGATTACCTTGTCGAGGTATGCTCTGTCGAGGTAGAGGTAGAGGAACAGGGTAATAAGAAGGGATAGGAGAATCCAAAGTATAAAATGTTCAAGGTCTCTGATATTCGAAGTGATTTTCTTTCCCGGTATTAACCTTATCGCTCCGCCGGGTAGATTTGAAACGGAAGAATCAAACAATGGAAAAAGCAATCAGATCAGTGGGAAAGGGAAAAGGGAAAAGGGAAAAGGTCAAAAGGTAATGAGGTATGGTATCTTTGAACTTTGAGGTTGAAACGAATATCACCAATGTTAGAGATTAATTAAAGTAGAGTCGCGAGCAGTGAGCAGTGATAGGTTCAATTAATAAAAGAGATGATCAAATGATGGAAGTGTTGATACGGATATGGGAAATGACTGGGTAGGTGGGTAGGTGGGTAGGTGGGTAGGTAGGTGACTGAACACTGAACACCTGGGCACACTGAGGACAGGACTAATTAGGACCAAGAACTAATAACTTTAATAAGATCTGAAGATTGAAAATTTGACTTATTTAAAGAGATGCTTTTATTATTATTGTTAGTATTATTATCATTATTGTTATTGCTCCTCCCCACCTACTCCGTACTCGAAATACTTTCATGATTGATCCATCAGCCATCGTCCATTTTCAGCCATCAAGCCCAATCCCCATTTTGTTTTTTATTTTAAGGGGAAATGTAAATTAAATACGCAGGCTCGGTAGGGACGTGCGTCAGAAGGTGATGAGTAATCACTCAGTTCTCAAAATTACTTATATCGCCCTCTCCTCCATATCAGCCATCATCAGTTAAATCTGTCAATGAACTGATGAAGCTTTCTGGCTATATTCCCTTTACACTACCTAAACAAACTCACAGACGAATGAAGATGGCTCGAACCTCAAATTTGGAGGCCATATTGTCGGATATTATTATGAGATGAACCAAATTTGGAAGGGGTACAATGTGTTGAAGTCGACCGAGGGAACACACGTTTACTCCGTAATGAGTGTATAAACGAGATACAATTGTCTAAGCGTATGGCAGTGTTCCTCTCTATTACACAATAACGTCTATCTTAAGTATCGAAATCACCCCGGCTTGATGAGGCTATTCGGATGGTACTCTAAATTGAGTACCGGATATCTAAAACATGTGGATGAGGGGCACAGTTTCGCTGCTTTCCGAAAATTGAGACATGAAATATTAGACCCTTTGAAATTGCCACTTGAATTAATTTTATCCACTTCAGTGTCGAAGAGAAGGGTACATTGTGTTGCACTTTTCGAACACCGGATGGCCCTCTCCGTCATCTAAAAGAACAAAACGCCCAGTTACAACATACTTGTGTCCTGTACACCACATTTGTTGAGAGTAATGATATAGCCACCATAAACTCCATCTATCCCATGTAAGATATCAACTGTCAAATGCTTTTGGGGGTATCCTTATTCCAATACTCCTGTACCAACAGAGCTCCAGAGAAGAGGGGAAAAGAAGTAACGCCAAACAACCCACCAATGCCTCTTTAGTCCGTCCTTTAAAGAAAAAGAATTCCTATACTCCTAACCTGAATGATCAAGAACAAATCGCCGTTCGACTTCCTTTGTAGAATCCTCATCTCCGTCAAATATCAACCTAACTCTATTGCCATCATCAAGCATTGCTTTGACTTCCGCTCGGTAAAATGTGGTTGTCTCGGGATAAAGAGCGAGGACACGCTTTCCAACTTCGTAGGGTCCAAGAATGGCGTCATCTGGTGGAATTGGGCACATAGAAGACGCGGAGGTAAGAATTGAGGATTTATTCCCTTCATCAGGAGCCACATCTTCAACCCTGTATCTGCGACTCTTGCCGTCACCAATAACTTTTGCAACCTTTCCTTGAATCCAATCCATCTCTGTAAAGGGAGAACCGGGTCTCGGCTTGAATGCCACCTCTTGTCCCTTGGAGAATTCGATTTTCTTTGTGCCACTAGTACCAGAAGTTGTAGATGTATTATTATTATTGGTACCACCAGTACCACCAGTATTAGTACTAGTACTGGGCTCTTCGTTCTCAGACTTCCTAGAGATATCTTTTCCCTTCGGCGGTAAACTGCTGGTTCTACCATTTCCCATCTTTCGAACATGCTTGTTTTCTGCCGGAGAAGGAACAGGAGAGTCGGTAGATCCTACATCGTCGGTAACACTTGATCTTCCATGAGATTCGCGGGAATTGGAACCTCGCTCTGCTTCGTTGCCTTTGATCAAGGCTAAAAGAATCGACAGTTTTTCAATGGTTTGTCGTAGGGCTACTGCTGTAGACTCGGAGACTTTCACGCCTTCTCGAATTTGTATGTCGAGCTCTTCTATTGCGGCCATGGCAGGTGCTTAAATTTCATCAACACCAAACATCGTTGCAAATCAGAATCCATACTCACGTAAACCATTCTTTATCTGCTCAGCTATAGCGGTTTCTTTAGAGATGATGGCTTCCGGGATATTTGCTTCAAAGATTTTCTCTTCTGCTTTGATTTTGGCTAGAGCTTGAGTGATCTCGGTCCATAAGGCTATTTCTTCACCCCTCTCATGTGTTCCAGAGCGAACTCCACCACGCGCTTGACGTCGACCAGCAGTTGAGGCAGACATTATTTTCTCGTGGTACCCGTCTGTCAACTTAAGTTCATCGATCAGGGTCCGGCTTTTTCTATCTTGCTTAGACATATTTTAGCAAGGGAATCTCAGAGTGAATAACAATGAACCAAGAAAATAATGATCAAAAGTAAAGAAATGTAAACATGTCATCCCGACTTTGTACATTTTCTAAGAAGAAAATAGAAACCAAACATCCAGGATCGTGGTGACTTACTTGGGTTGTGGGTATTCTGACCCGCACCTACTTCAAATGAGGAATAAGTCGAGCGTCTGATCGTGTAATGGAAGCTACAAATCGAAATTGAATTGAAAGTTAAATATGGTAAGTGATTGAAAACGCATCAACAAGGGGCGGAAAGAGGGGATGAATGGTGTGATAAAGTAATGTAGAGGGTAGGTAGTTATGGAGGAAATGGTAGAAATGGGCGTTGAATGTTGTGAATGAAGGATACTAGGTAGTACGAGGCTTTAAGTTCGGGGTAGGAGGAGATAGGACCCTAGTAAACGAATACTGGAGTAGAGATATTAAAGGAACTTGTTAATGATTAGGTAAATCCTTTCTTTCGATTGGTCGGAATGCCACAAAATATTAACAATAATAGGAGACGCTAGCACAGAATACAAATACAAATACAAATGCTGATAGATATATAGCTGCCCAGGTACCCAAGTAGGATTATGTAGGTGTGTATGTGCCTAGGTAGGTATGTAAGTATGTATGGTATGTATGGAGTAGAAGAAAATCGATAGGGAATTATTAGTGGTACCTACTAGATCATGCTTGAGATCAGCATTTACATCAGCCTTGTCAATCATCCTATAATAATTGGTTGGTGGAGTTAGCGCGGGGTCGATTGAAGTTGGCTCGTTGGGTGACGTGCAAGCTATGTTGAACAGAACTATTCTGAAATACATCCTCCATACTCTTCTTCAACAATATTTGGCCAGTATCACTGTCAATTATTAGAACGAAGAAAAGAAGAACCGATTTGTCAGATATCTTATACAACGGATCAAACAATCTACTCTCATCAATTCCTCTCCCCAGAGCCAAAATGCAAGTTCCATTAATCAGGCTTCAATGCGGAGTCAATAGCTATGATTGGGGTAAGGTGGGAAGTGATTCAGCGGCTGCAAAATTTGCTGCTGCTACACCTGCCGATGATTTTTCTATTCAAGAAGAGAAGCCATATGCTGAAGTAAGTAATGCTTCATGTTCATGTACATAATCTTATAACTCATTCTATCTTCATAGTTGTGGATGGGAACACATCCTTCAAATCCTTCCAAGGACCTTACCACAAAACGAACGCTCCTCGATCTCATTCAAGACAACCAAGCACTCTTATCTAAAGATGTCAGTGATAAATTCGGCGAAAAGTTACCATTCCTATTCAAAGTACTTTCGATAGGAAAAGCACTCAGCATTCAAGCGCATCCAAATAAGACACTTGCGGAGCAATTACATCAAAAGGACAGCAAAAACTACCCAGATGATAATCACAAACCTGAAATGACAATTGCCATTACACCTTTTGATGGACTCTGCGGATTTAGACCTCTTGCAGAAATTTCGCATTTCCTCTCAACAATTCCATCATTGAAGAAATTAGTTGGGGAGTCTGAAGCGGAAGATTACCAGTCTGCTGTCAAGGGACAAGAAACATCAGATAAATCAGAGGACGAGGCAAAGAATAAGAAAGCGCTGCAAAAAGTTTTTACTGCATTGATGAATGCAAAGAAAGAAGATGTTGAGGACGCTAGTAAGGAATTAGTTGCTTCAGCGGAAGAAGAAGGGGATAATTTCGCTGGAGGAGGGGGCCCTTCAAATGAAGGAAAGGAACTCGCAGATCTTGTTATCAGATTGAACAAACAGTTTCCCGGGGACATTGGACTATTCGTACAGTTCTTCTTGAACTACGTCAAACTCGAAGTTGGAGAAGCAATGTTTTTGAAGGCAGATGATATCCATGCATACCTGAGTGGCGATATCATTGAATGTATGGCTGCATCCGATAATGTAGTTCGAGCTGGTTTCACACCGAAATTCAAGGACGTCGATACTTTGACTTCGATGTTGACTTACTCATATGCGCCTATCTCTGAACAAAAGATGGAACCAGTGGATTATCCATATGCCACTCTCAATGCGACTGCATACTCTTCTGGATCATCAGCGACACTCTATGATCCACCTATTGCAGAGTTCAGTGTGGTGAAAACCGATCTTAAGAAGAAGGGAGCAAAAGCAACATTCGAACAGATTGTCGGCCCTAGCATATTCATTTGCACGACTGGAAATGGTAAGATTAGTGTCGGACCTAAGGTCGAGGAAGTTAAACCTGGGTATGTCTACTTTGTTGGAGCTACAGCAGAGGTAATACTTGAAGCCGAGGATGAAGAATTTACCACATTCAAGGCATTCTGTGAATTGCAAGGCAAAGAAGATGCGGATGGAAAAGAGAAGCTCTAAAGCTTAATTGAGAGGACGGATATATCCAAGTAACGAATTCATGAATGAAATAAGGTTTTTCTCCTTGCATGTTTGGAAGTCTTTCTGCGATTTATGGACATCATAAAGCCATTCCTCTTCAGGCGATTTGATCCGACCGATAGTAAGTCCTGTGAGTGATTCCTGAGGGTCCCATCTAAGTTTCAAACTCAACATCTTCCTAATCTTCGTCACAATCTCAAATGTATGACTTTATCTCTTCTCAGCTCTCACTTTCATCTATGTCCACAATCCTTATCCCACCCTTTAAGTTCATGTTGTTAGTCAAGACTCATAATCAATCATAAGCTTGGATCATTTCTCACGACCGGGGGCTTGCAAGCTTAACTTGATTCTCCCATCCTCCTATCGTTCACTATCGCTAAGTCAATACCTCCCCCAAATTGACCAATCATGAATTAGCCAAATGAACTCCCCAGAGCTTCTTATCGGGAGGCTGACAGGGCCACAATCAGTCAACGTGTAATGCTGGCAGGTGCATAAGGACTCGGCGATGCCGTCTAGAATTACATGTAGAGTCTTTATACTAGTCATTTGTTCATCAAAGCAAAGAATTTGTCTTCTTCAGAAAGCTTTTGTAATTTTAAGTTCATGCGTCTTTGAAGCGCAATGGAAGTTGATCCAGAACTTTCGATTGGAAGACAAGCTTCCAGAGTGTCCCGGGTAGACCAACATGATGAACAAGAATTGGCAGAGTTTGGATACAAACAGGAATTGAGGAGAGACTGGGGTCTTATGCACAACTTTGGAATTTCTTTCAGTATCATTGTAAGTTGTATTTTGTCTAGACATGCGAGTTGGGTCTCTGATATGGCAAAGTACGAGACCGAACATGGCTCTATAAATTCATTGTCAAGCGTTGTTATGTGAAGCATCATCAATACTGCAAACGACCTTTTCGTCTTACGGGAAGTCTTGCTAATATCGCTTTAGTCTATCATCACTGGGATAACGACACTATTTTCTTATGGCTTGATCACCGGTGGTCCTGGAGGTATGTGTTTCCTATACTCTTATTCTGCGTTGTAAATTTCTGACACAATCAGTTATGTCTGTTGGATGGATAATTGTATCCGTATTTACTTTCATGATCGCTTTGAGCATGGCAGAAATTGTCTCTGCTATACCTACAGCTGGTGGACCATATTATTGGGCAGCCCTTCTTGCGCCGAGAAATCATTCGGCGTTTGCTAGTTGGATTACTGGTTGGTTTAACTTCCTCGGTCAAGTTGCTGTCACTACAGGAATTAGTTTCGGCCTCGCAGGTCTCATCTCAACAACTGCGACAATTAAATCATCATATGTTCCAAGTGCCCCAAGAACAATTGGCATATATGCAGCTGTTCTCATTTCTCATGGCATCGTCAATACCTTTGGTGTTCATGTATTGAGATACCTAAACAACACATCCATCGCACTTCACTCATTGGGCGTAACTGCGATAGCTATTGCTGTTCTGGCAAAAGCTCCTACACATCAAAGCGCCAAGTTTGTTTTCGCCAAATTCTACGACGGAACAGGTGTAGATCCAAGTCCAGGATGGAGTGTTAGAGCATCTCCAGCATATGTGGCTTGCTGTGGTGTTCTCATGGCTCAATACACGCTCACTGGGTTTGACGCATCAGCCCACTTGTCTGAAGAGACTCGAAATGCGTCTTGGAGTGCACCCATTGGTGTTATTTCTTCTGTTGGGTTCTCGGCCCTTTTCGGATTCTTCGTTATATTGAGCTTCTTATTCAGTATTCAAGACTTTGATAACACAATTGCAAGTGATTATGGTCAACCGGTTATTCAAATTTTTGTTGATATATTTGGAACCGATGGAGCGGTTGTGTTAATGTGTCTGATCATGATTTGTGTCTGGCATTGTGGGCTCTTTTCGATGACTTCAAACTCGAGAATGATGTTTGCGTTTGCTAGAGACGGTGGAATCGTAAGTTTTCCTTTCCGCTCTTTCATTAACTACTAGTCAACGCTAACAACAGATTAGCCGGAATTTTTTCACAAAGTCGATGATCGTTTTCAATCTCCCATTCAAACAGTTTGGCTCGCAGCAACTCTTGCTTTCTGCCTAGCACTCCCATCTCTTGGCTCCAGTGTAGCTTTTGCTGCCGCGACTAGTATAGCGACCATTGGTCTGTACATATCATACGGAACCCCTATTCTCATCGGTCTCATTTATTCAAAGGAGTTCAACGCTAGGAAAGGCCCATTCAATCTTGGAATCTTCTCAAAGCCAGTCGCTTTCATTTCTGTATCCTGGATAGGGTTTATTACAGTGATCTTTTGTCTCCCTACGACCAATCCGGTAACAAGTCAAACTGTAAACTACACCGTAGTGGCCGTGGGAATTATTGCTATCGGGGCCTGTGGAGCGTGGTTGGTCTGGGCCAGGAAATGGTTTGTAGGACCTATGGTCGAGATTGAGGCTGCTGCGCGCTTGGGTATAAATCCCGAAGAACCTGGTGCTTTGGAGAGAGCGGAAATCGATGGCAAGATTGATTTACATAGCGGCGTGAAGAGCTCAGATTAGAAGCTTGAGTGGAGGCGAATGGAATTCGTGGCCATACGAATAATGGATATACCTCGATAGAATAAAGACCACGGAGAACAAGACTTAAAAATATATGGCAATTCACCACAATTCCACGATTAAAATTCATTTCACCATGCTGCAATGGAGTCTCGAGTAGAGGAAACCCAGGTGTAATATACTGCAACGTACGATATGCGGTACATCCGAATTTCTGCGGTATTGACAAGGCACAGGTAACTCGGAGTTGTTTCGGAATAGTCGCTTTGATCCGGATCATTAAGGATGGAGAGTGAGCACTGAGAAGCAGGCAAATAAAGACTAGATATATTTTTCAAACTGACCTCATCATACTTTACATCCGAGATCAAAAAAAGCAAGAGGTATAAATAAACAATATATTTGAATTCAATGCTGTCGGTCATTATTTGATATCTAATACACAAATTGGTAATCATTTATTAATTCCCGGCGACATTATGCTTCTTGCTCACTCAGCCTTCAGTCAGCCTTCTAGAATTTAGTATAATTGATAGCCCATGCCCCATAATTTTATCAATGATTTGGACCCGACCTCGGGGTATCGGAACTTTTTATAACTTATCACTCACTTCGTCCATTTGATCACACAATTAATCAACA